TCTCTTTCGCGCGCGCAAATGTCAGGCTGGAGCAGCCTGCGATGGTGTCGCGGCGAGCGGCATCGAGTCGTTGCGATTGCGTCTGTTTCGGGGCCGTTCGCGCGCGCTTCGTCGCCCGCATTTTTCGAACTTTCTCCAGTGGGCATCTCGCGCCGGCCCCGGCGCCAATGTTGCCGCTTCCAATGATGTAAAAACGGCCGTCCAATAATGTTGCGTGCCATTGTTGCGGAGGTCCACATCAAGCCACGCGTTCCTATCCGATCCCCCGTCGTCGCTGCCGTTTTCGGTGTCGCCCACAGTTTTTTCTTCTCCGCGTCACTGGCAGGCCCTATCCCTTATCCCCTTCCCCCTGGCCCTTGCCCCCTTAACTGTTTTTTTTTTCAATCCTCATCGATGGTCCCTCCTCCCCTTCCACTTCCCCTCTTCCGTTGTCTTCCCTCTCGCCTCCCTCGTCCGTCCTTCTTCTGCCTCTCATCCATCTTTCCTTCGTCGTCTTCGCGCCTTCGCATCGCGCCCTCCGCGCCGTTCCTTCCGCCCCTCCTTTTGGGCGGCCACCCCTCCCCCTCCGCAGCCGCGCTCCTCCCCCGCGCCCCTCCCGTCGCCCATCGCGGCCCTCCTTCCTGTGGCTGGGCGGCGGCTTGGCGGCGCGTGGGCGGCGGCTGGGGCGCGGCCGGGATTCGGTTGGGATTTTGCTGGCGGCGTCTTTCTGGGGTGGTGGCAGTTTTTCTTGCGGGGCGGCGGCTGGGTGGCGGCCGGGACGTGGCTGGGATTTCGCCGGGCGGCGGCCGGGATCTGGCCGGGGTCGTTGCCGGGCGGAGGGCCCGCGGGCCGCGGGGGCATGTCTGCAGCGAAGCATTGGCGCGCGATTCGCACTGGTCAGGGCGTCTTCGACTTATTTATGCTCGCGCCCGGCGCCCTCGCATCGTAGCGGGCCGCGCACTCGGCGCATTTCGCGCTGGAGCTTCTCATATGTTTGACACGCGCGCTTCGGCTTCACAGTCATGCTGCGCTGCGCGGCGGCACTGTTCCGACGTAGATCTTCTGCGTCGCAGTCGCGCGGCGCCGCGTGGCGGTGTTCTTGTTGCGACGCGCCCCTGTTCTGCCTCGCAGTTGCGCTGCGCTGCGTGGCGGCTGTTTTGCGTTGACGCGCGCGCGCGCGCGCGCGCGCGCGCGCGCGCGCGTCTCCGTTTTGCAATCGCGCCGCGCTGCGCGGTGGCGCCCTTGTTTCGACGCCCGGGCCTGTCCTCTTCCACGGGCGTGCGCGTGTCTGCGGTCATTCCATTGCCGTGGCCACGCCCATGTTTGTCGCGCGCAGGGGGCTGCGTGGCCCCCCCGTCTGTCGATGCGGTTTTGTGAGTGGTTGGGCAACGTCATTGGCCAATGGGTTCTCGCTCGCCGCGGCCCCCCGGTTGTGCGGCGCAGCGTAGCGCTGCAGCTTCCTTTCGCTAGCCGCGCGACAGCGGGCGGCGGAGCGCCGCGCCCCCGCCTCGCTGCTCAGTTTGCTCGCGGCGCGGCTACTAGCGCCGCGTGGCAAGCTGTGCACTGCCGGCGCGATGCGTTGAGGTGGGCGCCGTTTTCTTGCGAGAAGCGGCGTTGCCGGCTCTCGGAGGAGAGCCGCCGCCGAAACGAGGAGCTCGCCCAGCGAGACCAGAGGAGCCGCCCGCGCGCCGCCGAGCTGTGGGCGCAAGGGGCAGAGGCCAAACGCACGGGTTCTCTAGGGCCCGTCCGGCCGCTCGAACCCTTCAGGTTAGGCCCCGGCGGAGGGGGCGACCTGGTATTCAGCCGTAGGTCGCCGCGTGGGAAAAAAACAAAGAACAAAAAAGGTCGGAGGAACGAGGCGCCGCTGTTCCGAGCAGCTCCTGGAAGATCCGCGCGCGCGCTGATGCTTCGGACCCCCCGGGGGGGCGTTGTTTCAACCTCGCGCGGTCTTCCGCGGAGCGCGTCGTCTGCTTGGGCAGCGAGGTCATTCTCGCTCAGATGGCGACATCGCAGTTGGCCGTCGGCGAGGCGCGACTAAGCAGCTACGGTTGTTTAGGGAAGGCGCATGACCAGGCGCGCCGCTGCCTTGCCCCGGCGCTTGTCGCCCAGCTCTTCTGGGGCCCGCAACGGCGCGAAGTGATCGGAAGGGGGTTTCTGTCGCAGGATTTTGGCCCCGGAAGTGTCGCCGCGAACTGTAACGTAGCGTTTCGTCGTCTTCGCGACATGTTGCGCCGTTGGTCTTTAATCGATGTCGATAGTGTTTTCGGTGATTACTGGACTTGGGAACCACCGTGGCCAGCTTCGTCCGCTCGCTTCTACGTGGGTTGCAACTCGCCGTCCCAGGCCAGACATGCGACGGCCATAGTTAAGGCGCTCGTAAGTCGTAACTCTGGGGGCTTCGCAATGCTACGGAATGCCCGCATGGGCGCGTCCCGCGCCATCGCCAGCGGCGACGCCAGCGCCGACGCCAGCGCCGACGCCGCCAGCGCCGACGCCGCCACCTACGCCAACGGCGACGCTGGATGCCGGCACCAACGCCTGCTCCTGCGCTGGCGCCGACGCCAGCGACTACACCCGCGCCGACATCAGCGCCGACGCCAGCATTCTCGCTGGCGCTTGCGCCGGCAGTTCAGCGATTACTCGGCCAGCCTGAGTGCGGTGATGCGCTGGCGCCGACGCTGGCATCGACGCCGGCGCCAACGACTGCGCCTGCGCCAGTGCCAGCGCCGGGGCCTGCGCCAGCATGGAATTTCAGTGCCGACGCCATCGCCAATTAAGTCGGCGGCAACGCCAACGCATGATGTGCTTGCGTTGGCTTTGGCGGCGACGCCCGCGCTGGCGCCAGCGCCGGCGCCGGCGCCGACGCAATCGCCGACGCCGGCATCGCCGCCTGCGCCTACGCCAGCCCCAGCCCCAGCGCCTGCGCCAGTGCCGACGCCAGCGCCGACAGCAGCATCAACGCAAACGTCTGCGTCAGCGCAAACGTCTGCATCAGGACAGACGCCAGCGCCGACGCCTGCGCCGACGTCGGCGGCTGCGCCCGCGCCGACGCCAGCGCCGAGGCCGGAATCAACGCCCGCGCCTGCGCCAGCAATTGTGCCACCGTCATCCACGTGAGCTACAATTTGCTACCCCAAGTCAGACTTGGCATGACTATTGCTTTGGCGCTCGTGGCACTGGGGGCGTCGTGATCTCGCGGAATGCCCGCCTGGGCGCGTCGTTGTTTCCATCTTCGCCTGGTTGTAACGCTCGACGCCTTTCGTCGATGCGCGCGCCGTGAGCAGCGTGGCGGGCGCCGCGAGTACCGCGCCAGATACCATCAGTTGCGCGTCAGGTATCGCACACAGCACAGCGGACACCATGACTCCCACAACGCGCGCTGTAGGCAACGCGCCGGTTATCATGGGCAACGCGACGCTGACATTGAGCAGCGCGAAGGATACCACGAGCAATGCACGATGAGTATTGCGAGCAGTACGTCGGGTACCGTGAGCAGCATGGCGGACACCGCGAACAGCACGACGGATTCCATTACCTGTGCGACGAAAGCGACGAGCAGCTCAACGGATACCGCCATCAGCTCGACGGGTGCTATGTGCAGCACGCCGGGTGCAATCGCTGACCTTTGCGCCTGGAAACGTTACCGGATTATGCTGGCAGGGCCTTTTAGAAGTACATTATATATACATATATATATATATATAAACTTGAATTTCGGTTCAAGTTTCTGGTTAGACTTGAGTTGTGAATTAGCGAGTTCACGTCAGCCAGTGATGGGTCGACGGCGGGGGTCCACGAGTCGCGCATAGACTACCGGGCGCCGCCCGACGGGTACCATCACGGGCGCGCCAGTTATCATGAACATCCACGAGTCAGTGGGGCAGTGGGCCGTGCACCGCGCCTCTAAGCCGCTTCGTAGTTACATGATTCCAGTGTGCGTCTTGTTCAGTTTTTTTTGCCCCCCTCTCTCTCGCATCCCTTTTCCGTGTGTTTGCTCGGCCGCGCGCGTCCAAACCCAGCCGCCGCGCTAGGCTTGCTCTCTCGCCGCCATTGGTGGACCCGCGCGTGGCACAAGGCGGCCACGCAGTGGCACGAAACATGTACTATTCTACTTATGTTGGTTGCCTTGCACTCTGCTCTTTTTGTGTATGTCCTTTCGTTTTCTCCCTTCCCCCTCTCCCACGTCTTTACCCCCCCCTCTCCCTGCAGACTGCCGAGTGTGTTGCGTGGGGCACGGCCCCTCCTGCTGTCGAGCGTTTCTTTCGCAATTCAGTTTTCGTTGGTGTGCGAGTCGGTGGCGCAGTCCATGGCGCTGTGCGCGCACAAGCATTGAAAGTGGCTCGGGGCTTGGTCAGTCCTCTCCCTTTCCTGCTGTTGTTTTGGTTAGTGCTGCTTGCCGCTTTGTTTCAATGTTGCTTGGGATACTCTTCTCGCGGGCGCACGTTTATTGACGTCCGCCGCTGGTTTCTCCTTCTCGCGGTGTGGCGCAGCCTTGCTGTAGTGGTATACAGTCTGTGGGATAGGGGTCATTCGTTCATCATTGTGGTTCGTGGGGACGAACAAACCTTCTCTTCCTGTTTCTCTCTTTCCCCTCTCCTCTGCCCCTGCCATCCACCGTGCTGCGGGTGGACAGCCAGCGCATGGTAGGACGCTGGCGCCCACAAGCTAGTGCTCTCACATTGAACTCCTCGGAAACATTGTTCACCCTCTCGTCGCGGTAGCGGCCGTCACTGCGGGGGGGGGGGGAGGGGGGGGAAGGGAACGGTAACGGCACGATTCGCGCGGGCGCCGTCTGAGAAGTAGATGTCTCCTTAGCCATTCCCAGACGGTGCCAGGGGGTGTGGAAAGAGGAGCAGCGGGGCGTCCTCGGCAACAGGCGTCATCGCGAAGTCTTACAAAACGCACTCCTCCTCCTCCTCCTCCTCCTTTTCCTCCTCCTCCTCCTCCTCCTCCTCCATCTCCTGCCGCCGCCGCCGCCGCCGCCGCCGCCCCCACCCCCCCCGAGCAGCGCCCGACGGCAGGCCCTGGAGGGCTACAACCCGAAGGACCCCCACTTCCTGGGCATGCTGATCGGCAGGCCCCCCGCCCAGCTGGTCCCGTCGTTGATCTCAGCCGCCCGCGCCGCGCGGCCTTCTCGACCCAATGGGGGGGGAGGCAACATGGGGAGGAGGAGGAGGAGGAGGAGGAGGAGGAGGAGGAGGAGGAGGAGGAGGAGGGAGGGAGGGGAAGCAGGAGGAGGAGGAGGGGGAGGAGGGAAGGGGAAGCAGGAGGAGGAGGCGCAGACGGATGATGATGGTGATGATGATGATGATGATGATGATGATGATGATGATGATGATGATGATGATGACGCTGATGACGATGATGCTGATGATGATGCTGATGATGGTGATGATGATGATGATGAAGATGTTGACGTTGATGTTGATGTCGATGATGATGATTATGATGGTGATGATGCTGATGCTGCTGATGATGGTGATGATGACGACGATGATGATGATGATGCTGATGATGATGCTGATGCTGCTGATGCTGATGCTGCTGATGCTGATGACGATGATGCTGACGCTGATGATGATGATGATGATGATGATGATTATGCTGAAGATCATGATGATGATGCTGATTATGCTGAGGATGCTGATGATGCTGCTGGTTATGATGATGATGATGATGAAGATGCTGATATGATGATGCTGATGATGATGAGGATGAGGATGATGATGACGATGAGGATGATACTGAGGATGAGGACGTGGATGCTGACGAGGATGAGGACGTGGATGCTGACGAGGAT